CGGCGCTAGAAGCCACTTGGATATATTTCAAATAACGCCTGCCCTTGTCAAGCGCCACCACAAGCTGAGATGTCTTCAACAAAACAAACTACAATTATCCCTCATTCTCAGGAGCCATTGGTCACCTATGAATATCCTTCTACGACCGAACTCGACAAGATCGTAGCTAGATCCGCCGCGGCACAAAAATCATGGAAGAATACCCCTATTGCGGATAGGATAAAAATTGGTCAAAAGTTTACGGTAAGAGGCAACGATATGGACAAGCAGGCTACTTATAGCTATTACCAGGAAGAGTTTAAGAAGATGGACAGCGAGATTCCTTTCGAACTCACTCAACAGATGGGACGGTTAGTATCATGATCGAGGATGATCCACTTAATTTAACTTCATATTCCCAAATTAGGCCAGTGTCCCAGAATGCAGGAGAGATTCGCGGCACCCTAGAACGAGCAAACTACATGTTATCCATTGCAGAAAATGCCCTCGCCCCCGTAGGGTTGGAGGACACCGATAAGCCTGGGTTCAAGCGATACATCAAACGCGAGCCGTTGGGCGTGGTGTTTGTCATTGCGCCATGGAAGTGAGTCATAACCATGCTACCGAACGTGCTCCACGATGTCCTAACAATGATGTGCAGCTTTCCCTTTCTCACATCGATCAACTCGGTGCTTCCTGCGATCATAGCAGGTACACGCTTTTACCATCACGCGGTATATGCGCAATCTGCTAATCTCGCTCTGAATCAGGCAACTCGGTTATCTTGAAGCCTTCCCCGCAAACACCGGTCAGTACGCTCAATTTCCAAAATCGAGCGATCAACTTATCAGGTCTGTAGCTCACAGCACACCGCCTCCAAAGCGCCTTTGAAAAGGCCGGGCTTCCCTCTGACGTATTCATTGTGACGCATTTGTCACCCGAACTCACCGCCCATCTCGTAGAGCATCCCCAAGTCAACTTTGTGAGCTTTACCGGGAGCGTGGCGAACGGAAAGGTTTGCGAGTCAAGTTGATCCTATGACTCAGTGTTGACTCGGGAGCTTTAGGCAGTCGCTCAGAATGCGGTAAAGAGCGGGTTCAAAGGTGTAGCTTTGGAGGTGGGAATTTGAGTTATGTTCTTGGTCGGATATCTGAGGCCGCGCCTTTAGCTTGGGGGAAAAGACCCCGCCTATGTCCGCAGTGATGCTGATATCGATTACACTGCCGCTGAGCTCGTGGACGGTAGGCCGAATGAGCATGATTTGTGCGTACACTAACGGCTTTGCACAGGCGCCTTCTTCAACTCGGGGCAGAGTTGCTGCGCAGTCGAGGTTCGTGATCATCCATCACGACCGAATATGTCTCACATTTCGTATGATTTCAGCGCATTTATGTCCATGATTCTATTTATGACAAGTTTGTACCAGCGTACGTTGATATCGTCAAGGTTAGTTTCGGCGCTCATCATCGCAGTTCATTTCACCGGTCGTTTCCAGAAATACAAACTAGGAGATCCTACCGAGTCCGGTACAAATCTCGGACCGGTGGTTTCGCTCGCGAGTGCCGAACGAATCAGGAAGCAGGTCGATGATGCCGGTAGGTGGTTATTGAGCGGTTGCGCAACATCAACTAAACCCCCGAATACAGTCAAGGCAGGCGCAACGCCCCTCGTGCCCGAAGATCTGTTCCCCGTGGCTAAACAGTAAGTATATACTGGAATCAAATATCTTTTAATCTGAGAGCTTCGGTCAGGGGCACCACTTACGTTGCTCCTCAAGTCCTAGTCAACGTCGATCACTGTAAGTGACGATCAATTGAAGAAAAGCACGACTTATGCCTTTTTTAGCCATGGATGTCATGAAGGAAGAAACCTTTGGCCCGGTAGTCGGGATCATGCGTGTCCCATCAGATGAGGCAGCGCTTGAGCTTATGAACGACTCTCCTTACGGGTTGACTGCGTCTGTCTGGACGACGACCAAGCCTGAATCGCAGGAGGCATTCTTGCGATTCGTCGATGAGCTAGAGACAGGCACGGTCTTCCTAAATCGGTGCGACTACCTGGACCCCGCGCTTGCCTGGACGGGAGTGAAAGACAGCGGTCGCGGCATAAGCTTGAGCAAGTTCGGTAAGTCACTCGAGACCGAGGAAGGAGCTTGCTGTACGCTGATTGGCCGGTCGTGGATAGGCTACGATCAGCTGACTAGAGCTAAATCGGTACACATGAAGATTGTCACTGCATGACGATAGATAATTGACTAACTGAGTACTTTACCTGAAATAGAACTGTGTCGGTCGCTGCGGGATTGCGTCTCCACCAGCGCTCTCCGCAGGCTCCATCCAGTGTGAATCGGGCTTCGTTGCATAAGAACCACGCATAGCCACTATAATCCTGTCTCCAGGTGTCTCCGAGGACAACTTCTGGCTAAATTCGGGCTGAAAATAATCTAATGATGGCCATTGTGTGTGGGTTTGCACCGCCTTTTGACATGATAACGGCTGCCTCGGCACAGCATTTCTTATTCTGAGGAGGGCGTTTGGAGCTCCCCTTGATTCCCTTTACATGAACGTCAAGGGCCAGGGCAAACCTTGCCCGAGCAGTGCGTGGCAGATATATAAATCTGCTGCCCTCCCGTAACTCGTTCCGTAACCAGCCTCCCTCTCACCTCATCCCTCATCATGCGAGCATCAAAAGTGTTCCTTACGTGGATTCTGTTGGCTTCTACGGTCGTATCGCTCTCAACCCCCGAACGATGGCGATTTGATCTCGAGGCACGAGATGGTTTGGTGAGTTCCACGAACGACAAACGTTGTCGGTACCGACTGACCGTCATACAGGTGAATAAGCGCCAGGATCCCCAGACCACGACCGAGGCTGCGACTTCTGATCCAGCTGCGAGCACTCCTGGGCCATCTAGCACAGATCCTGCGCCCTCCTCTGAGCCTCCGTCTACCTCTGAACCTGCACCTACCTCAGACCCTGCCGCCTCAAGCTCTGCTCCGCCAGAATCTACATCCCAACCCGCCACCTCTTCGCCACCAGATCCCTCTCAGTCGGGGTCAAGTTCGTCTGTAGGACTGCTATTCACCCAAACTACTTCGAGCTCTAGGCCAGTTGTCACCGTTACTTCCTCACCCACAGCGGACAACACCGACTCCAATGTCCCCTTCGTCGACTCGAAATACCACCAACTCATCATCGCACTCGGTGCCATATCTGGTGCACTCCTTCTCGCACTCATCTTCACCGCAGTGATCGCATTCCGTGCTCGCGCCGATAACGATCTCTTGCGTGACCGACTATCTCGATATGAGCAGGGCTTTGACCTCCCCCAGCGAGGCAAGGGCTCACCGGGATCAAGTCTTGGCGGGTACGGGCGTCTCTCGTTGCACGATCCGGACGACTCCATGCGTGGCTCGCGTCGTTCTTTGAGCGAAGGCCAGATCCTCAAGTCAACGCCGGCTGGCCGGCGGTTGAGCGGACCAGCTATGGGCTCGGGCACGCCTCCCGGCAACCGACGCGTCACGTTTGGCGGCTCGGATAGCATGCACTCGGGCGGTGCCTCTGGCTCAGACCATTCTCCACTCCTTGATCCCGTCAATAACAAGGGAGAGGCTTCGCTATTCCCTGACACCCATGCTCCAGCGAGCATCCCTCCACCGCCTGGTAACCACAGGACCAACTCGTCCGATAGTGCGATCCGTCGGTTGCCGACAGCCCCAAACGCTTCGAACTCTAGCCACGAGAGCTATACGGATCCATTTGCTGGCGGGCGTTAAGATGAACACTCGAAATCTGTTCTTGGTCGCGCAATGTGTTTCTTCAATGTAACTCAATCAAATTCATCTATTTATCGTAGTTCCTTCATATGTGCTGTGCCCGTTTACGCCTTGTCAATAGAGTTAAAAACGATTTTTAAAGTAATTGTGGTCGACCATTGGTGTGAGGCATAAATAGCTCGAGTGGGTGACGCCAGGAGCACTACATAATATAGTAACCCCTCCTGGTCAGTATCTGGTTATAACCGGGAGCGTCAGAATACCAAATGAAGAGATGTCAGCGGTGAACAAATCATACTATTGGACCTCTTCTGTACTATATACACTTACGGTCAAAAGAATTGACTCACCCTTGATTCCGGCCCACACCTCATGTATGTATCATATCTGGTACAGTATATGCATATACCATATTGTGCCATGTAGTCGCTTAGTATACACAGAGAATCGGGACCAGAACCGAAGGGAAGGCTGGTGCTGGGGAGGGGGTGTGTGAGCAGGCAGAAATACGCTACCTTAGGGAGGCGTTTGGTTGATATGTTATGCATGCGAGCTTGTAGCCCTATACTACGAGAGCTGGACGCACTTTAGATCAAACGAAACGGATCCGCCATTGTTGAGATACGAGCATTACAAAGTTGAGGTCATCCATAGGAGTTGGCGCTTGTTTGGCCAAAATCAGCTCAAAATCCATACTTTGTAAAGCATGTATCTCAACAACGGCGCATCCGTTTCGTATGATACAAAGTGCGTCTTACTCGTGTAGTCTAGGGCTACAATTTTGCCCGCAAAAAGTCCCAATCAGATGCATCCCTAAGGTGGTGCATTTTTGCCTGCTCACACCCCCCTCCCCAGCACCAGCCTACCTTTCAATTCTGGTCCCAACTCTCGGCGTATAGAAAGCGACTATATGGCACATATGCTATACACGTATACTGTACTAAATGTAGTGCATACATGAGGTGTGGATCAAGATTAGGGGTGAGTCAATTCTTTTGACCGTAAGTGAATAGAAGACCCACCAAACACCTAGTTTCAGAGCACTGGAGGGATGAAACCAAACTCAGGGAGCCAGATACCAAATCACACAGCCCACCTATGAGTAGTTACGACCTTTATACGTTCTCACTCAATTCAGGTTGCCCTGCTCAATTCATATCGTGAGTTGAGAGTTAAATTCAGGACAAGACCGAAAACCGCGAGATTTCGAGCGGTTCTGGCCAAGCTCAAGGCTTGCAAAAAGCAGGCCCCAGCTGGGAATTGAACCCAGGACCTCACCCAATTATGTAAGCAGATTATGTAATCAAGCTTACGGGACAATTCCCGAAGGGCGAATCATACTACTAGACCACTGAGGCTTGCTACAGGTTCCAGGAGTGAACATATAGCTCCGTCTTCGCCAGTGGCTCGTAAAGCTCGCACTCCGTCGATGCATCAAGCGCATACATACATCCGTAGAGATTTGTTGTGGACCAGCCGAGCTTGGCGCCTTGGCCACACTAAATCATGTGATGCTGTATGATCATCGAAGCAGCTCTTCCGCTTGGGTGAGCAAAGCACCCTCTTGCTTAAGGATGTTGTCACTTTGTTCTGATACGTGCAATGATATAAGGCGTCTGCTATGTTTGAAGGATTCCGACTAGGGGGGGTGTTAAGGGGAGCATAAGACGAAAACCGCTCCCTTCGCACAATATACATTCTTGGTATATAGTCACGTATTTGTAGTGTCTCCAACCCTAGATATGACGCTATTTTGCAATTATCATACGAATATATTCGACTCAGTAATCCCAGGGGTGAACTAGGGCGCCAATTCCGAAATTGCCCAACGTTGGTCAAACGTCTCTCAATGCCTCATCGGTGCACTACGTCTTTCAGTTGGGTCTTTGGCACCGCAGCTGAATACGCCCGCCGTTGTAGTCGTACCTGCGTCTTTTGCTCGTATGCATAGGCAAAGCCAATCAGGCTCGGCTCGCTGTATGCGGTGCCCAAGAAGGACAGACCAAACGGAATTCCCTGAGTCAAAGCGATCAAAGAGGCGCATCGTCGTTCGCACACATATACAACATACCGGAGCGGGAAAAACAGTATTCGGTCCGGCGCTTTTAGGTACCACCACTGTGTCTTCAGGGTGGAAACCTAGAGGGACTAATGAAACATTTTCAAAGAAACGAGGCACTGAGCTGGATAAGTTACCTACCAGTCACGATGGGATAGCCTGCAATAGCAGCCGGAACAGCAGTGTGTTCTTAATTGAAAATTTTAAATCAGGACATTTCACGAAAGATTCATCGGGTGCGTACCATTGCTTGGGAGGATGAGTGCATCAAGCTTGTGTGTTATGAGTGTTGCATCAATTCCCCTTGTTCGCCCAATATCATAGTTGTTGTGAATCGCATTGTAATAGGAGGAGTTGTAGCCCAATGTAGCTCCAGCCCAGCGGAGGCTGGTATCGGATAAGCGTGCCTTCAAACATACTACTGCTCTTTCTCTCTTACCCTATCTGGTCTACATAGCCTTCTGGCTCTTCCAAGTCTTTGTGTTCATCATTATACACGATTATTTTTGATAACGTGGTCGCACCGGTAGGAATCGAGCGTAGATTTTTGAGGTACGCGTTGATTTGGATCTGAGCATAGTCGACTATGCTTGACTATGATATTTTCGAACCGAACATACCTTCATGTCAACACCTAGGACAAGTGTTTCGTTCCTATTTTCCATTATTTCAGTGGCGCTCGGCAAGTCTGCTGGGTCGACAACAATGCCGCCTAGCGATCGGATAATTTCAAGAGCATTGGCAAATGCAAGGTGGACGGAAGGGTGAATCTTGAACAAAGTATCGTTCATAAACACTATGCGGGGCACTCCAAACCTCTTGCCCCTAACAGAACCAGCGTCCAGGTATTGCGTGTAATCAGGAATCCGATCTGGCGCAGCCAAAGTATAGTTGTCGTTTTTGTCTCTTCCGGCTATTATAGTCAAAATGGTAGCGGCGTCTGCCACATTTCTGGTCATAGGCCCAACAGTATCTTGGTGTGCGGAAATTGGAATTACTGGGGGATGCGGCGATTTTAGGAGTGGAATGGACGTGCATTGTAACTGGCTTACCTCCAGCCCGTGAGGTAAGTCCAACAGTCGGCCTGATACCAACAAGATTGTTAAAGCTAGAAGGACACACGATGCTGCCATGAGTGTCTGTACCCAGGGAGCCAGCGGCCAAACCTATAGCAGCTGCAATTGCGCTACCTGAAGAAGATCCGAATGGATCTCCCCCAGGGTAGTATGGATTGGTTGCTTGACCTCCACGACCCGACCAGCCAGCTGCGAGGAGTCCGCGCATATGGGACCATTCTGACTGTGGTTGATGCACATTAAGATTCTGCTTACGTCTTACTCAAGCTGAACATACCAAATTGGCTTTCCCGAGCAAAATTGCTCCAGCCTTCCTAAGCTTTACCGCCACAGTTGCGTCGCCTGGTACAATTGACCCAAGCAATGCATACGAGCCAGCAGTTGTGTTCGTTCCTGGTGAGCAAGTATACGATAGATGAACTTTGCTAAGACACGTCTGAAATAGCATTCCTCACCTTCACTAGCTAGAGTCGCAATGTTATCCTTCAACATAATCGGTATCCCGTGCAGTACCGATCGCTTTCCAGACCTTTTCCGCTCGGCGTCTAAAGCAGCCGCCTGCTCAAGAGCGGACGGATTTGTCTCGATCACTGCTCGGAGGGCCGGCCCTTCCATGTTGACCTCGTCAATACGCGCAAGATACGCCTAAAATAGCGTGAGATACTAACGTAGGTAGTGGCGCATGTCAAAGCGCACCTTCACAAGGTCCACACTGGTAAACTGTCCT